TCTAAATGGAAAATTACCTTCATATATGTGAATTCATTTAGGCAGTAAAATCATGTTGTCTAATAATGGGATTATTTTCATAAATTGAAAAAAAAGAGGAATCCTTCCCCCCTTTTTTTTAAAAAAGAAAGGAAACCACTGCCATAAACATAGACATCACGAATAAGTCCTAGCAACATTTTTAAAACATGTGATAACTATAAAAAAAAGAAAATAATGAGAAACCATCCCACAGAGATAATGCGACCAAAAAAACGATCAAATTAAATTGGTCAGGTAGTCAATCAGTGTGTCCTCGGTTTTTGTTATTTTTTCTTATTCTCTAAAATGATTTAGTTAACTTGTTTATTCTATAGAATATACATATTCGTGATATACCTATTCCTTTTCTTACATTATCTATTCATGGATAAAGCTTATTAATTATTCTTAGTATATACACATGTATATATATAGACATAGAGATGTGGACTTTCCCTTAGTTTTTTTTTGGTTTTTAGAAAAGTCTGAAATGATTTTGTAGAGAGTAACTTAGGGGACTAGTGTAAACCAGGTAGTGGTAATTCGATTGATACGCGACATTGAGAATTGTTATTTGTATAAACTACTGAACAATTGATTATCGTCAGAAGGGGGTTTTGTGGATCATGAGTCAATTGAAACTAGACCATTATGGAAAACCTGGAAGCACTGGACGGCCGTTTCGTCTCGTTGTGAGACTCCTCAGCAATGTGCATCCAGGATTATCGGTTGATTTTAAAACTAGTTAAATAATGTAAGTGGGATTACGCCCCGATAATAGTTACTTAGGTTGAATGTAATGAATTATACATTTTTTGATCAAATATACATCACATTATTTACATTGAAGAACTTATTTTTTCTTGAGGTGGCATTGAGAATTAGATCAAGAAATTAGTCGTAACAAATGGAGTTTGACAATGTCACGTGTGAAAAAATTACCTACTAGTGGTGTTGCATTATGATAAAACAAAATCGATGATTGGTTAAATTTAGAAAAGTACACCACTGGATGTTAGCTCGGTGGTCTACAGGTCAAGCTTTCACTTCAAGATCTGAAGAGTGTAGATTAAACACTCCATAACGTTGTGAATACTTACTACGGAAGTCTCGTGATAAGATGAAACAGTTACCTAATGCTTCCTGATTTTCAATGATTATCTAATTAGAGTTATTAATCTCAATAACATTAAACAGTCTCTACGAATGCTTATATTGAAAGATAGATACCTATTTGTATCACTGATAACTTCTTACATGTATCCGAACATTATGGTAATAAATAACATTATAAACACTGTTATTTCGAACTGAATATATTCCATATTAGATTAGGCTAGTTAGTGAAGTGTATTAATATTATTATTACTAATGGCTTTATTCAATACTATATTTTGGTACATCTTCTCTCAATACCAGGAAATCTCTTCAACCGAGTATTGTTAAACAGGATGAAGGATTCAGTGGACGCCCAACTTCGAGATCAACAAGCTGGATTTCGTAAGGATAGATCGTGCACAGATCAAATCGCAACTCTACGTATCATTGTGGAACAATCAATCGAATGGAATTCATCGCTCTACATCAACTTCATCGACTACAAAAAAGCATTTGATAACGTGGACAGGACGACACTATGGAAGCTTCTTCGACACTACGGCGTGCATGAGAAGATAGTAAATATCATACGGAACTCCTATGATGGACTAAACTGCCAAATCGTCCACGGAGGACAACTCACCGACTCGTTTGAAGTAAAGACCGGTGTTAGACAAGGTTGCTTACTCTCACCCTTTCTCTTTCTCCTGGTCATCGACTGGATCATGAAGACGTCAACGACTGGAGGAAAGCACGGGATACAGTGGACAGGCAGGATGCAACTTGACGATCCAGACTTCGCGGATGATCTGGCTCTTCTATCACAAACACAACAACAAATGCAGGAGAAGACGACCAGGTTGGCAGCAGCCTCATCAGCAGTAGATCTCAATATAAACAAAGAGAAAAGCAAGACTCTCCGATACAATACAATATGCACCAATCAAATTACACTTGACGGAGAAGCTTTGGAGGATGTGGAAACCTTTACATATCTGGGCAGCATCATTGATGAACACGGTGGATCAGATGCAGATGTGAGGGCGCGGATCGGCAAAGCAAGAGCAGCATACCTACAACTGAAAAGCATCTGGAGTTCAAAACAATTGTCAACCAACACCAAGGTTAGAATTTTCAATACAAATGTCAAGACAGTTCTACTGTATGGGGCGGAGACGTGGAGAACTGCGAAAGCCATTATCCAGAAGATACAAGTGTTCATCAACAGCTGTCTGCGCAAAATACTTCGGATCCGATGGCCAGACACTATCAGCAATAAGTTACTGTGGGAGACAACAAACCAGATTCTATCAGCAGAGGAAGAAACCAGGAAGAAGCGCTGGAAGTGGATTGGGCACACCTTGAGGAAATCAGCTAATTGCGTCACAAGACAAGCCCTCACATGGAATCCTGAAGGTCAACGGAGAAGAGGAAGACCAAAGAACACATTACGCCGAGAAATAGAGACAGATATGAGAAGAATGAACAAGAACTGAATAGAACTAGAAAAGCAAGCCCAGGACAGAGTGGGTTGGAGAAAGCTGGTCGGCGGCCTATGCTCCATTGGGAGTAACAGGCGTAAGTAAGTAAGTAAGTAAGTAATATTTTGGTACAACATAGAATTCTCGGAAAAATGTATTCCAACAAGTGTCTTTACCAACAAACAAACAAAAAAAGAGGAAAAAGAGGTGAAAAAAGTCCGGAATCTGTATAACTTTTCAGTTAGAGACAGGTTTAAGAATACAAGTTATTAACTAGATCAACTCTAACAACCTATTCGTTACAGAGTATAATCGATAGGTAAGGTATTAAAGAACTTTTACAGATTTGCTTGAGTGCATGGATTTCAATTAATTTACATCTCGTTCTACCAGAACATATACAAGCAGAAAGATATGAATGAAGTGGATGGTTAGTATCTGATATGATAACATCTGTCAGGAGTTTGCATGACTTTAGATGTCTATCCACAACCATATTAGTAATGATCTCAAAAGAATCACCACACACCTTGCTAACTGCCTTTAACACTCTCCTCAATACATCAAAGTCTTTCCTTAAACAACCGGGAAAGAATAATGGAGAACAGTAAAAAGTAATAAGTAATATGCGGGAAACGATAAATTGTTGAAGTAAATGTAGAGTGTCCATCATTTAGACTACTGAGTGATGATACTTATCTTAATTTTGTTAATTTCAAGTCTTATTGTAAAATTCATCACTATGGTCTTGGTATATATGCAAATGATCAATCTGAAGTAATACAAATAATTCTTCCCAAACTTTACTCTTAACTATTATATAAATTATCTCATTTGAATAACTTTTTAACCAGTTGCTTACGTCATTATCTTGTTTGGATAAAATTTGAATAATTTACACAAATTAGTTGACATGGTATTACAAAACCATTGGATTGGAATCAGGGTTTTCCAAATTCCTTAGATGAACCCTCCGTGTCCACCGACTCGAATAAAGCACCAGTTATTCGCTTTTCATCCTTTTAATCTCATAAACAACATTCCCGCCATGAGGAGGGAGTGAGTAGGACTTCCCTGGTAGTGGCTGGATACACGTGGCCATGTGAGAAAATTTCAAAAAGGAGAGCTAACTCTCCCCATCCTCCGACGTACTAGGGATTTTGCGGGCTTTGTTGGAGAAACTGAATATTATTTCTTTTCTAAATAAACAGATGTTCATCAAGAAAAATTCAGCTCGAGTTGTATTAAAACTTAGAATAGATCTAGAAATCAATGTAGTTATCCACAATGTTCGTTATGTTGACCAAGTGTACCATAACTAACGCTTCCGGTCATTTAGTAGATATGTTCAGCATATTAGGATGTAGTTCTGTATAAGATATTTCGTATGCTAACCCATGTTGCATATGTGTTTCATATAAGACATATCAGGTGAGCTACACAGATGGAGACTACTTCAACTGCTTGCAATGAAATTTTTAATAAAAGTCATATTCTAGTGTGCAACAGTCATTCAATTAGTGGACAGAAAACTGATGTCAAGTTATGGATACGATTCACTAAATGAAGAATGAGAACATTTCGGTTTTCTATCTTGTTTATTTAACATATTTACTTTATGTATATTTATACTTTGTGACTAGGGGAGTACAACCATTTTAGAAATGAGCAAGTTACCTATCAATGAAAATGGTTAGTTGTCGGGCTGTATCTTAGTCTTCTAATACTGACTTAGCTGCCTAAGGCTAATGTAACTTACAAATGTCCTGAATATTGTGAATTCAACTTTTATTAGGTTTATTTATATGTTGCACAGCTGGGGAGAAATAATTGTCATATGTCATACTATCATGAAAACTAGCTCCACGTAAATTCTAAGATAAATCGAAATTTGATGGCCCATGTAAAATATTCAGTGATATAAGGTGCTTAGAGATATACAGAACAAATTGATATCTGATGAATAACAGTTGTTGACTTAAGAAAACATTAACACTGGTGGATGCCTGCTCAAAGGTCTAAAGGTTAAATGCTCTGGCGCGAGAATGGTAGGTCGTGGGTTCGAATCTCGTGAGGCGAGGTCGTAGATGTACACTGCTGAGGAGTCCCATAATAGAACGAAACGGCCTTCCAGTGTTTCCAGGTTTTCCATGTTGGTCTAGCTTCAATTGACTCATGATTTCAACTATGAAAATAAATACTGAAATCTTCACAAAACCCCATTCTGATAATATTAAGATATCAATAGTGACCATTTGATTGATAAGTAGAAAACTAATACCAAAGACTATATATATACACATGGAGAATGCTGATAAGCGGCCTATGCTCCTTGACGAGAGATACCAGGTATAAGTAAAATGAATTAAGTAATATATGTATATGTCAATATCTACTTACATTAATCTTCACACCATCTTGATTATTATGATTATGATGTATACTTTCACAACTAATAGTATTAATCCTACTGAATGTATCAGTTCTATTATTTCTATCTATTGACAATGGATAATTTGTATACTTTTCATTCATACAGGCGGCAGTATTATTATTATTATTATTGTATAAAGGTTTCCTTATCTTTATGGGTTGGATTATTTGTTTATTATTCATTGTAACCATGGTTCTCTTTGGAACATTCTTCTTTAATACATCTAACTTGTATTTCAATCGAATAGATTTCTGTTGAGTAATCCTCAGTGAAGAATTGAAGTATTGATTAGGTAATATTTGTGGTTTATTATTGAAATCGTATGTTTGATAACAAGAATAGTTACCACTTCTATGTGGTTTACTAATAGCTGGAAACCATAAATTAGACTGTGGTATCAATGGGATAATATGCTTATGTGTATATTCCTGTCGACCATTCATACCAATGTAATGATGAATATGTTGAAATGAAGAAGGAATGTGGAATAACACTTGTGTTACGTATTCTCTTGCTTGTTTGTTTCTTTTCTTTTTTTCAAATTTCACATTTTCGTCTTCCTCCGTTTGAAAATTACCATCATCATTATTATTATTAGTTAAATATAAATTATCAATGACCTAGAATTGTAATTAATTGTTCACCTAGCAACCAATAAATTAAGTTGAAATCAATCACTGAAAGACACAACTAATGAAATGGATGTTGTTCTTTTGTTCAAGTATGCTAGGTTGTTTGCTACGTTTGTTTGTTACGTTTATACTATCTAAAAAAAGTCAAGTTAACGTGCTGCCTGATTATGGAATGGTTTGAGACGTAGGATTTGGGGAATTATTATTAATGGCTTCATTCAATATTATATATATATATATATATATATATATATACATATATAATTTGAAGCATTGCTCGTATATCCTGGGACCACCGGGTAAGTAATGTAGTTCTTAGGAAACGGGTACTAGGTAAGGATGGCAAATCGATTGATGAAGTAGTGATACTTCATCAGTTGAGATTGCCGGGACACGTGTTACGTATGCCCAACCACCGACTGCCCCGACATGCAATGTTTTGTGGTGTACGAGTAGGTTGGAAGAAAGCTAGGGGCGGCCAGACCAAAATGTGGCACAAATCCATAAAGTCACTGACAAGTGGACTGAGCCATGTTGGTAGGTGTAAACTACCTGGTTGGGATTCGCGAGATGATAGCAATCGATGGTTAGAGGCATTGAACGACATGGCTCAAAGTCGTTTGTAATTGCGAAGGTGCATCCACTCATTGTATTCTCCCCAACTCTAATCTGAATTCTTCATGTCACTTTCTTTCTTCTCTTTTCAAATTTATTTCACTGGAATATACTCCTTCAATAACATCTTCAAACCCTAATCTTTCACATAATGCTTATACTCTAACTACCTCTTCGACTATGGGATTTGAATTGACACCTACATCTCTGTGTTAATGTTGTATGGCAACTTGAACTGATGTACGTACGTACGAAGTTCTACTTTGTGACTTACTGACTGACTGACTGATATTTTGGTACAACATAGAATTCTGAGTACAACGTATTTTCAACAAGTTATGAGATGGTAGAGACCATCCAGCTCAGAGAACAAACCTACATCAAAATCAACAAGCTATCTTACCAAAAAACAAAACAATAAATGAAAAAGGTCTCAGTCTGTACAACTTATCAAAGTTGAGACAGATTTAAGAATACAGGTTATTGACAACCTTTTCGTCACAAAGTATATTTGTTAGGTAGAATATTATAGAACTTTTATAGATTTACTTCCATGCATGGATTTTAATGTATTTACGTTCCATTCTACTAGAAGATATACAAGGAGAAGGATATGAATGAAGTGGATGGATAGTATCTGATAAGATAAAACCTGTCCGAAGTTTACAAGACTTTAGATGTCTATGGACAACCGTATTAATAATGACCTCAAAAAGAATCACCACACACCTTGCTAACTATCTTTAGCACTCTCCTCAATACATCAAAGTCTTTTATCAAAAGCCAGGGAAAGAATAATGGAGAACAATAGAGAATAATAGGTAATATGCAAGAATTGACAAACTGTAAGAGTAAATGTTAAATAATCCCAAAAGCTTGGAGTAATTATATCCAAATGAATGACTGTCATTTGGAATGTGTTCAACAGCCAATAACAGTTAACTGACTTGATGAATAGCCTGGATTTCATAATATTCAACTATCATCAACTTCAAATGTTCTGAGACGGACATGTTTTATTCTGTGGTTTAGTTAGTGATGAAACTAGAGGATCATAAATATTTACTATTTTCATAATTCAAATCATGAACTGATCTTAACTAAACGAACTGAAATATTTAAAATTAGACAACTGCACTACAGTATGAAATCATGATAGTCTAGAGGTTAAACGTTCATGTTTGACATCCAAAGCCCTAGGCTTGATCTCTAGATAAGGGTTTTTCGGGTGCATACTAATGTAATATCCGATACTAGAACCAAGGAGGAGTTCAGTGCTCACCAGTTTTTATTGGTTGTATGACTAAGATAAGTTCAGTTCATGAATTGAACTATGCAAATTGTAGAATCTCCATAAATCGTTCATACTTTTACTACACTTAAAGGTTGGAAGAAGATTTTTTGCACTTTTTTGATATCAAATAAAGGAAACACTATTTTTCTCAACAAAAAGATCATTGCTAGACATTTATGACTAAACAAGCTTTAGTTATCATACCTAGTCGATCAATAGTAAATGCACTTGCTTTGTTGTTATTGCATTTGTTCAACTAGTAGGAAGCCACATAAGTCCTTACATCCCCAATTCTCTATATATGGAATATTATTTAGACTCATAACTCATGTGACTGTATAGACAAAATAGAAAGCCATGATGCACCAAAAATATTCAATCTCAATAAGTATATCGTTTAAGATATTTTAATAAAGGACTTAGTAACAAGTATGTAGTTTATTGATTATAAACTAGATCAATCAAACGAACTAATAACACCTTACATGTTTTGAAGTCAATGAGATACAATTAGAATTCACTTCAACTAGGAGGAGGACCCCCCTTTTCTTTATAATGTCTTAATATAGATGAATAGCTTGACAACCTGTTGTTTAACTTAACCATTAGAATTGTGTGAATGAGACCATATATATGTGCTTACGAAGAAAATACACCAACTACTTCACTGTATTGATGGAGAATCTCTGGAAGATGTAGAAACATTAAAGTACCAGAGAAGGATCATCTATGAACAAGGGGGATCTGATGCAGATGTAAAGTCGAGGATTAGCAAAGCAAAGACCGCATTTCTACAATCGAAGAACATATGAAACTCAATACAACTGTCAACTAATTTCAAAGTCAGAATCTTCAATACGAACATCTAGATAGTCAGTTCTACTGTACGGAGCTGAAATGTCGAGAACTACTACAACCATAGTCAAGAAGGTACAAGTATTTATAAATAGTTGTCTACACAAAATACTCAACATTCACTGGCTGAACACCATCAGCAACAGCCTATTGTGGGTGATGAAAAACCAGTTTCTATGTGAACAGGAAATTATGAAAAGACGTTAGAAGTGGATGGGATATAAATTAAGGAAATAACCAATGTGCATCACGAGGCAATCCCTAACTTGGAATGGTGAAGGGAGGTAAAAAAGAGGAAGGCGAAAGAACATATTACTTTGGGAAATAAAAGCAGATATGAAAAGGATGGATTTTAACTGGAAAGAACTATAAAGGATTGCTTTGGACAGAGTTGGATGGAGAATGCTGGTGTGCAACCAATGCACCTCCACGAGGGGTAACAGACATAACTAAGTAAGTATATCACTTTGAGCCTCTTTTAAACACAGTATTTTCTTAATATGAATTTAAAATTACCACATTTTAAAACGAATATAAAATACATTTCAACAAGTTATTCACCATTAATACACTTAATACACTTCATTATTTTTAACTAGATCGTTTAGCAAGTGAATCTTAAATGTAAGGCAGTTCATTGAAATATGTTTGCGTGTTAGGAGTATATTAGAGTCAACAATCCTGACGTGAAATTACTCAAAAACCAAGATAAACATAATGAGATAAAAACCCTAGAAAACATACCCTTTCAAATAGATTGGAATAATAGTAATATCGATGATAGTTGAATATGAAAGGAAATTAAAGGAGAAAAACTTTTCTCTTTGATGATATCATTTATTTAAGTTTTATATTCGTATTTAGAATGATTTGAGACATATTAAATGAGTTTATAGAAGAATAGAAAGAGATTACATCATAATGGAATAATTGGAGAATGTTGCGTAATTATTTCTCTATTTAGCAAAATAGGTTACTTTAATTATCAAAAGATTAAACCGATTTCAACTGTAACTCAAACGCTTATATATCATAAAGGAATTTTACTTAGTATTGTTTGTTTGAATCTTTCCATTGATATTTAAGACTGCAATTGATCAGTCTCTTATTGACATATGTGCATACTGTGCGTATTGCCTCGATATAGCCTTCATTCATAAGCATAATAAGCAAAGATGGATAGTGGCTAGCAGTGGAATCCAGTTTGACGCACGTTTCGTCCTATTTGTGACTTGTCAGCTGGATGTATGTGTATCTCAGAGTTGATGTTCACTCTGAGACTAGAACTCACTACCTTTCGCTTCAAACATCATCACATTATCCACTCAGCTACTGAGTCCTGATAGCCATTTGCTTGTGCCATGGAGTGAATTTTAAATTCACTTAGTATTGTTTGTTTGAATCTTCCCATCGATGTGTTAGGACTGCAACTGGTCAGTCTCTAATTGGCATATGTGCATACTGTGCGTATTGCCTCGATATAGCCTTCATTCACAAGCATTATAAGCAAAGATGGATAGTGGCTAGTAGTGGAATCCAGTTTGACGAGCGTTTCATCCTATTTGGGATTCGTCAGCCGGATATACCTGCCAGTTAGAGAATGACCAGTTGCAGTCCTAAACATCAATGGGAAGATTCGAACAAAACAATACTTAGTGAATTTAAACTTCAACCCATTGCACAAGCAAGTGGCTATCAGGACTCAATAGCTGAGTGAATAACGCGATGTCGTTTGAAGCGAAAGGTACTGGGTCCGAGTTCCAGAGTGAACATCAACTCTGAGATGCAGATACATCCCGATGATGAATCCCAACTACGACGAAACATTCGTCCCGTATTCGACTGCTAGCCACTATCCATCTTTGCTTATAAACATGACTGATTTTACTATAACATGATCGATCATAATTGGACACTACTATCCTTTATGCGTCAATTTAATGTTGACGGGTTATAATATTCTTGAAAGTACATGTTTTCATCAGCAAATACACAAAATTATTTCTGAATATTTAACAATGATCCTAAATGTATTTTAGCTTTACTTATTTTTACTACTAAATTGAATTATTTAGCATAAAATTGAGATTCTATAAAACATCATTTTCATCATGAAATTGGTATAAATCTATTCACCACTGAGAACCTCGTAGCACTGATATTAAGCATGTGCACACTAATGATTAACTTGTAAATTTAATTCTAGAAGTTCCAAAGAGAAGCCAAGATTAGTGAATTTTGATCATGTCAATTGTGAGAAAGTTATCCATCCACAGACAATAGACACTATAGTAAGTAGACTAAAGTTAGCCATCAACATTCTTAGATACCGAATCAATAGTTTGAAGAATAAGTGGTTGGAAATGAAAACGAATTTTCTTGATTGGTTTACCAGATTCAAATTCGTGAATTAAAGAATCCTATACTAGAATAAAATGAAAGTCCAGTGTATTCAGGTGTTAAACAGGGAGGGAAACAGGCTAGACAATATGTAACTACAGTGAATTCATATCATTCTATAAT